AAAAAAAGTACAGCATAAATAACTAACATAAGACATAATATTGCTACCAAAATGAATCCATGATAATACCACCACAACCACGACCAAAACTTTTAACAAATGCATCTACATTAAGTTTAAAAATATGTGGTTTGGCCTTAATCCAATAAACCAACTTGGGCTCTTCAATAACATTATTAACATGTAGAATAATACAAAATTTTTTAGCCATAAAAGAACAACCCCTAAATATTTTAATGCCCAAAAGATTAAAAGAAAAGAGCTTCAGCACTTTATTTTTGATTTTACTAATAATGTACCAATGGTTCATGCTAATATTATTAAAATAATAATCATTTCTAGGAAGCCATAAAAACCACATAACAAGAGTGGATTTTGCATTCTAAATGCGACCTTTAGAATTGATAAACCAATTGTTCAGCATATTAGGGATACTAATATTACAACATAAATGATTAGATCTAAACATATCATCAAAATAAATCCATAATTTTTCTATAATAGGGCTTGAAATAAACACATGATGCATATTCCCTACGTGGGAGTAACATTGAGATCTTGAGGGTAAAATAAAACATATAGACATTAAAATATCATTAGTGGGGACATATCTGTGCATAACTCTCCAAATGAAGACCGCAATTGATGTGGTAATACATTTATGATTGATCATGGAGAAGACCAAAGAAATAGTGTTTTTAATTTTAAGAAAATCCCAAGCCTCATGAAGAGTAAAAATACAAGTGTTGGAATCTTAAATAATAAACAATCATCAAAATTGACATTATGAGGGATATTCAAAATATAAATAACTACAAACTTAAGGATCACCTCTACTAATTTATTATAATCCCAATTATTGTCAGAAATAAAATAACTCATTTTAGTAGTTGAAGTTGAATTCATGAAGAGTAAGGAATTTATAGAAGATGAAACTAACCAATGATCTTGCAAAACAAAAAATTACTTCGTCCCTAACCTCGTGGGATTAGTTTCTTTGCTTCCCATTTCATGTTAAATAATGTCTTCCAAACCTTAGAATCACATTTTTTATAAATGCACATAGTACGAAGTTTTCTATTACAATACTTAGAAGTCATAAACTTAGCCCATATGCTTTGTTTGGCACAAAAATGAAACCATAGTTTAATAGGAAAATTATGAGATTAATCAATCATACGTTTACATCCCAAACCATTTTCCTCAATCACCTCACAATAATTACTCCAGGAAGACCAAAGTAGTTAGGAATGATTGGGGGAATCCCCTCCAAAAACTGATTGAAAACTCTCTTCAACCAGTTACAAATCACAAGAGTAGGTTGAATTATTTAGAGAATGTAGATAGGTAAAGAGCACAGGACACTCTTGACAAGAGTTAGTCTCCAGCCAAAACTTAACAAATTAATATAAAAAGGTCCCAGGAAATTTTGAATTGACGATATAAGATCATCAAAAAGAAAAAACATCTTCTTGCCTTTGTTTATAAGAGCCACCAAATATTTTAAAGGCAAGTAAGTTTTCATAAAACAAGTAATACCTTTAATATTATTAATATGATCCTAAGGTACATTTTTGGAAGTAATAAAACAACTCTTACTGTTATTAAGAAAAAGACCAATAGTATTCTCAAATTTTTATAAAAATCTCATTAGAATATTAATCATATTCAAATAACCATTTTTAAATATAATAATATCATCAATAAAGATTAAATGGAAAATAGGAATACCACCCAAAGTCATATAGGACAAATTTGGGTGATTATCATAGGTTTTATAATTCCTCTAGAAAGATTTTCAGTTATTTATATTTAATAATGCTGGAGAAATGGGATCACCTTAACTTAATCCTTGAGAGGACTTGAAGAAGCCATTTCTTTTACCATCAACAATCATAAAAAAAATATCAATCTTCAAATTAAAATAAAATAACTATAAAATGTTATAGAGAAAACTCTAGTTAGTGTTATCATATGCTTTAACAACATCAAATTTAAGGATAATGTTCCCCCCTCGCCATGTTACCAAGATCATGAAGAAACTTCTGAGCAAGCAAAATGTTATCATAGTTGGTTCTCCACTTAAAAAAATTGGTTTGATATAGAGAGATAAGGCTAGGAAGGAAAGGAGCTAAGCGACCCATTAAAATTTTAGGAATAAGTTTGCTAAAAAAAGGAACAAAGATGAATGGGCTGGAAGTCATCCCAACAATAGGTAACATTCTTCTTAGGGATAAGAACAATGGGAGTGGAAGAAAAAAATGGGGATAGGGATACTAGTAAAGAAGTCCAAAACAGCCTCATACAAATCAACATTAATAATATTCCAAACTTTTTGAAAAAAAAAATTGCTTTCAACAAATCATAGCAAGCCATAGAATATGGAGTCATGGAATTAATAATGTCAAAAAACCCCTTACAAGTAGGGGGCTGAATAAGGTAGTATTGTCCTCATTTCAAATAACAATAGAGATAATATAGGGAAGCTCAATAGGGTTAGGGTTGAAATTATAGTTAAGTAAATTCTTAAAATGCTTCTCACCAAAATTGGCAACGTCCTCCGCATCCTCTAAAATAGTACCATTAGGAAAAGAGATCTTATAAATATAATTCTTAGCCCTTTTATTATTCACTAGGGCATGAAAGTACTTAGTGTTATGATCACCCTCAATAAGATGCTTAGAACCTTTTTTCTTTCCAAAAAACCTATTCAAGTGCTTGAAATTTAAATAGGGAGGTTTTAGCATCGTTAAGGAGCTTAAAGTTCTCATCAGTGTGGTCATTTTGAAAATTAATTTCCCTAAGATTTACCATATATTCAGCAACCAATATATTATATAAAACATATTTAAAAATATTTCTGTTCAACCAATTTATTTTGAAATTCAACCTTTTAAGTTTCAACCAAAGTTTATTCATACCTTGTAAAGAATTATCAGGATGCAAAGGGGCTTGCCAATTTTCATGAACCATAGTTAAACAAAACTATCTAAAAGCCACATATTTTGAAATTTGAAATTAAAAGGGCAGTCTCTATGAACACACTTTATACCAATAAGAAGGGCAGAGTGATTGGAAATAGTTCTACTAAGGTGCTCAACATGAGTACCAGTATAGAAATTGATTTACTGAGTATTAAAAAGCACACAATCCAAATGTTACCAGAAATTACTATGATTCCAAGTGAAAATGTTACTAAAGAAACCAATATCAACTAAATTATAATCCAAAATCATATTGTTAAAATCTTCCATATACTTGTAAATAGATTGAGCACGATCAAGTTTTTAAGAAGGAGGAGCTATAATGTTAAAATCCCCACCAACAAGCTGAGGTAAAGAAGCCACGGTTCAAATGTTAAAGAGCTAGTCTCAATGAAACCATCAGGAAAATTTAGAAAAGGCCACATAAAAGAAGGAAGCACAACATTTAAACTCATAAAACTCGACATGGAAATGAATAACTTGGTTAAAACCACCAATAACATCAATAACCATAAGATCTTTCCAAACCACCCAAATCTTATTAGAACTATTAGCAACAACATGATTAAAACCCAAAAAAGCCACTAGTGGAAGGTAACTTAACAGCAGGAATTAACGACTCAAGCAAAACGAAAATAGTGATATTATGAATTCTATAAAGATTTTTAACACTAATCCTAGAAGTGGGGCAGCTGATAACTCTAACATTCCTTATAAGGAACTTAAAATTATAAAAAAATATATAATAAAAATAATTTGAGATCTAGTGCTACCAGGAGATTGCAAAATAAAAATTGTATTTCTCTTAGACTTTATACCGTGAACTTTGCTAAACTCGTGAGTATTATCCTCCATATTATCATCATAATTTTTTTTTCCTACAGACACAATTTTCTTAGAAGTTGTGGAATTAACAACATTAAATGAAGAATAATCCAAGGAATCTTTAGAGCCAATATCATAATTAGATACCCAAATAAATTCCCTTTCTTCCACGTTATCATGCACATTAAAATTTTGGGCCACTAGGGTAATGATTAGAAGCATCACCACTATCAGAACTAAGGAATTTAAATTCTACAATATTTTTATTAAAACCACAAGGCATTTGATATAAGGCTATGTCATTATTGTGATTTGAAATTATCACACAAATTTGATCATCTAAAGATGAAGCAGCAATGATGATGGGGCATTGATTTTTCATAGTAGATGTTACCTCCATTCCCTTAATAGTTACAAGTTATAAAGCATCCATAGGATTCTTAATTAAAATAGCACTTGGAATAATAGAACCATAATTAAAAATATTTTTAGGAGTAGTGTCGATCTATTGAGGTTCCTTTATGAGACAATTAGGTACCTGTGTATCACATATCTCATTAGTATTGATAGATGAAGAATTGACCAAATTATCAATTTCTTTAGAATCTCTTTAAGGATCCTTTAATTTATGAAGATGCGTATGCAAGCTAAAACATTCAGAAATACAAAGATCGTGCATTTTACAATGGTTACAAAAGGTAGGAAAGTTTTCTAGAATTAGCCAAATACTATTAAGGTATTTTTAAGTGACATCTAATTCAACTAGCTCATGAGAAATAGACAAACGAGAAATAGAATTTATAGAAACTACCAAAGGCCAGAAAGGCCCCAAGCCATACAGACCCACTAAAGCAACAGGAGAAAATTGAAATAGAAGCAATGAAAAATAATAGAGAGTGAAACTGAAAGGATGCCCTAGAATCACCAGAGGAGACTCCAGGGAGAGAATGATAGAATGAAAATTCTTTTTTTTTATATAAAATGAAAATTCATAGCACATAAATTTAAAATATTTATTATACATAATATTTCATTTAATTTTAAAGCAATACTTAATCACCCTTCCATACCATGAAAGTAAACTATATAGCATTCAAAGATAAATTTTTTGAATCAAATGCTCAAGGTTGATATCAACTATTAACTAAATTCACGTAGACAACATCAATAACACATCAATGTGAATACCCCTCAAATGTTGCTTGGATACATATAGACCCTTACTTTATGACCCATGGATCGAGGAGGTAAGTTGGTATTACACTTAGCCCTAACGATGCCACTATTTTCATGAGAGCGGGTAACTTTCCCTAAAATACAATGATAATGTGTGACCTTCTTCTTCATATTAGATTTGTAGTTATACACCATCCTCTTACCAGTATACCATCCCATATCTTCTTTGGTACTCATGCCCTGGATTTACACAAGCAACATATTATATTAAAGTATCAAGCCGTAAACATATAATCTAACATGCTCGTCATGCCTGCCCTTCACCATGTTTGTTGGGAACCTCATTCAATGGAACAATAGTACAAAGAATCTAATTGAATGAAATTTCTTTTATTTTTGGAAACCCACAGAGGGGCTTACACATTAATATAAAAAAGGGTTACAAGGTCTTTAAAGGGAACCTTCAGATTGTGAATACTAGATTTAGCTACAATAAAAGGCAAAAGATAACTTATAAGCCTATTATTCCCTATACTAAGATTTATAAAATCAACTAATAACTTTCTAGGGCGACGAGAAGCCTACCACCAAAAAAGGAAGATAACTATATAGAATTCTAATACAATCTTCCTGCAAAAAATAACCAGCTTGCTCACAAGATCTATAATCCCTTGATCCTATAAGCAAAAAAGAATGCAAAACCAAACCTTACACAGCAAGATGTAGAGATAACAAAGAAATTCATATAGATTTAAGAATTGAAAATAATAAAAAAAATATAAAATATAGATGAAGAAATCCCATTTAATAATCATGAAATATTTCCAGTTAAAAGCATTTAGGAGGCTCATAGTACATATCATGTAACCAGATAACACAGAGCACTTAAAAGTCATGTAAGCGTTAGAAAAAAGAGACAAAACCAACTCCAATTCCAACTTTAAACTAAAATATAGGCAAGTATAGGAAATAGACATAACCTGATCCATACAATCTATAACCTTAAAATAAGAGAGTTCTATCAGCAATAAATATAAATATGAAACCATCAATACCAAATAATGAAACACCCCAAAAGAGATGTGATTTTGGGGCATGTCATGTCCTGGAAAAGATAACATTCATTCACATCATATCCCTTCCATCCATGCTCGTGAGTAATAAACAAGTTAGCAGTGTGGTGAATTGAGGGAAACATCCACTTAAAAAGGAAAAGAATGAGCATAATGAGAATAATATGAAATGGCCACCCAAAATTTATAAAATCAAATGTAAAAGGCAGGGCAATCTTGAAGAAAGGACAACACAATGCAACATGTAAAGTAAAGAAGGCAAATAAGTTCTATAACGGATCAGTGTTATTAGCCCGCACATACAAGGAGGAAGCAAAGCTAAAGGACCAACAAAAAGGATCTACCACATAAGGAATAATGAAACTAATAAAAAATAACTATACATTAAAAAATTAAATAAAACCAAAAGAAATGGATAACACACTAAGAGCAAAGACCATCACAAAAAATAGATAGTCAAAGGCAGAACCTAATTGATTCTAACATAAGGTAGACCCACACGATCAAGCCTAGTTGAACCCACAAGTTAGTTAGGAAGGGAGGACCCCATATATTCCACAAAACCCTTCAAATTACAACCCAAAGAAGCTAAAAAATCTGCAAAAACATTAACTTCCCTATAAATGTGAGTTATAGAAAAATCGTTAAGCGACAACCATTTCTTAATTTCTCTAACTTTATAGAAATAAGAGAGATTACTATTGATTTTTTAGTAATATAATGAATCATAAAATTAACAATCACTTAAATCTAATCATTAGTAATCCCTAAATAAATGCATAATTGTAACCCTTAGTTTAAGGCCTAAATTTTATCCATAGTAACAGTATGGAAATCCGAGGGACCTACAAAAGCCACAATAATTTGATCGTTAAAGTCATGGATGAGACCACCAAACCTAACTTTCAAATATTAAAAGAGTTATCAGTATTGAGTTTGTAGCAACCCTGAGGGGGATTAATCCATCTAACCATAATGTCTTTAGGAGAATGAATACTAGAAGCACTATTAACACCAAAATGCTCAGCAATTTGTAAGTAGCTTTTAAAAAATTCCTGATTAATTAAATTAGCAAAATATAATTTTTTACTTTATCCTTAATTTAAAAGATAATGTTCATTTCATTTATATTAATGTTCTCATGCTTCGACTCATCCCTACTTTTCTGAACGAACCAACAAATAATAACAGGTAAAACATTATGAATGTGCCTCTTAGTAGGAACCACCTAGTCTTGCATGATACTTTTAATGTTGATATAATCCTTACAAAATTAGGTATTAAAAACATTATCAAAATATAACCAAACTTTTAGAGAAATGGGGCAATTAGCAAAAATACGGTTCAAATTTTCAATATGATAACAACATTGACATTTGGAGATAATATAAAAACCTTTTTTCAAGATAGTATCCACCAATTTATAATTATTGAAAATCAACCAAATTAAAATAAAATAAGAGGCAAAAATACCTTTAACCTAAGTGGATGAGAATATCTGAGAGTTAGGTTGCAAATACTTAATAGAATGTCAAACCTCTTTGAACACAAAGCTCCCATCATTTGACTTATTAAATAAAATACAATCCTTATTATCAAGTTGATGAGGAACATTTAGTATGAGATTAATAAAAAAATTGTGCACCATTTCCCTAAGGTAATCCACATTTCATGTCCCCTCTTGAATAAAATGGGCAACTTTACAAGAACTAGTAGTATTGGCATTAAGCTTATTATCAATAGAAGAATAACCTAACCAATTGTCTTGCCAAAAAAAGATGTCACCATACCCCAACCCCCATTGAATGTAATTCTCAGCATCCCATTTAATGGAGCATAAACTTTTCCCATTAAAAGAGTCCCCTTTTATGAAAAAGAATTTGAGAGGATGTTTGCCAACACAATATTTAAAAATCCTAAAATTTGCCCAAAGGCTCCTTTTAGACCTTAAATTGAACAAAAGTTTATAAGAATAACCAAGAATCATGTCACCCAAGTTCTTAAAACCATGTTTACCTTCCTCTTGGACACTAGAACATTTGTCCCAAGAAGCCCATAAAATAGCAGATTTACCCTCTTTGGCTCCCCAAAGAAATTTGTTAAAAATTCTTTCGAGCCTATTACAAACATTCACAGTCATATATAAAGTATGAAATAAATAATTAGGAATCGAACTAAATCACTATTAAGTAGCACTAATCTACCCCAAAAAGAAAGAAAATTAAAGGCCCAAGTATAAAGCTTTTTGTGAAAATAAGAAAAACCCAAATAAATGAGATATCTTTTTACCCTTAAAAAGAAGAGTTATTAAATATTTAAGGGGTAATTGCATATGCAAAAAACCAAAATTATTCTGAATATAGTAAATTCTATGGTTGGAAATAGACTTTACAGTAGTAAAGCAACCTTTCAGGGGATTAAAAATTAACAAACTAGCTTTTTGAAATTGACCAAGAAATATAAAAAGGATATTAAGCATTTTTCTTGAACCATTGGTAAAAATAAAAAAATCATCAGCAAAACTTAAATGAGATGCAAGGAAACTATTGCAAATTTGATTTCAGGAAATATAATTTTGATGATTGCAAATATTTCTATTTTTTCTATGATTGCCTTGTCAACTAATATTTCAGGTCCAGAAAATCAAATAACAAATCAAACCAGTTGAAGATTGGGTAGATTAGGACTAAGTCAGTTTGTAATATACGCCAAGTGTCTTTTACCCTTTTTTGCGTCCTTTGTAACTTTGTGGGTCCCGATGCTAAGTAACATGGTACACACACACTTAGGCGAAACTTTTACTATTTTAGAGTTTCCTATTTTCGATCACATCAGTCAAGATGATCCAAAAATTATCCTGGATGATCAATTAAAAATAAAAATCCTAATTAAGCCATTCTAATTAAGGAAGAACTATTTAGGCATCTTTTATTTTTAGACATCATCCAGAACATCATCCTAGACGATGAAGTGCAATTATGCCTAAATTAATTTAGTAATTAAAAAAAGTAATTAAGGTTTGATTGCTTTATCATATTAGCCTAGACGATCGTAGGATCGTCCGAGATGATAAATTTATAAACCTTAGTTCTTTTTGGATGATTAATAATCAGCCTGGCTCTATTCAAGTGATGCTCTGGACCATATGAAATGAATTGAACTAATCATCCGGGACAATCTTTAAATCAACTTGGATGATTAAGTTTTTTTTTTATCATCCAGACATCCATTCAGGGTAATGCTCTGGATGATATGAACTGAATTGAACAGATTGTCCTAGATAATCATGAGATTGTCCTCGATGATTTAATTTTTTTTCCATCATCCAGACATCCATCCAGGTTGATGGTCTAGATGATATTCATTGAGTTGAACTAATTATACAAGATGATATACTATCATCCTGGTTGATATTTGATGATTAGTTACTAATTAGGGATAATTTAGAACCCTTGATTAAAAGATCTCTTATTTTCTCAAGTGAAGATCTTTTGCTGCTGTCCTGACCTGAGAGTACCAAGAGGAGAGGGAGAGTAAGGGAGAGAGAGAGAGAGAGGATCTTATGAGGAGGATTTTGTGAGGGATTTCATAAAGGTTGCTCCAAGCAAGGATCTGAGTCATCTTTTATGATTGACATCCCTGGGTCCTTGGAGGTTTGAGAGAGATCTTCTTTAGAAATTGATCGAGGTTCTCTGCCTACTTTTGGAGGAAGCAAAAGGAGTTGGGTTCTCTACCAACTTCTAGAGAAAGCAAAAAGAGTGGGGCTCTCTGCCTCACTGTGGTAGGTAGAAAGGAGTTTTTATATTTACTTCTTTTCCTTACTATGGGGGAAAAAGAAGAGGCACTGAGTTTAGTGCAATACCTAGAGGAGAGGCTTCGGGGAGTGGATGTAGGTCAAGTTGACCGAACCACTATAAAATATGGTGTGTTCTTTCTTATTATACTTTCACATTTAATTTTATCACTTTAATTTCTATGGTGTTTATTTGGTTGTGTTTGTAATTTTGTTTGAATAATTTTTTAAATACTAATTCACCCCCCCCCCACTTAGTTAGACTTAGGACTAGTTCATAAGGGCTTAACATCCCTGAGGAACTTTCAAGTGGTATCAGAGTGGGATTCATAAAATTGAGTTTTTGAAAACTTTTAAATTTCGATCAATGGCTAATGTTGGTAATTATAATACTACGGAAGAGTATTCTATTACCCGATCATCTTTGTTTGATAATATTCCTTTTGATTTTTGGAAAGCTC